AGGTTTTAGCGTTAGGACTAGGTTTAAGCAGATGAAACACATTTGGGAGACCTCAGTGGTACAGAAGTTCTGAATTGTAGCACATCCTTTTCTGTACTCTGCCCCTCCCTTTTCTCTTCCATTCATTAGTGATTGGTGGTTCTGACTGGTAAGTTACCCACGCTTGACCTCAGGGGGCCACTCTTCCTCCCTCCATTGCTGCCAGTCCCTCAGCCCTCACATGCATTCATTCACAACCCCCTTTTGAGTACATCTGGTCTCTGTTTCCGCACTAGTACTTGATTATTACTAATTACTGATCACTCTAGAACCCTCTTCACTGCCCTTCTTAATTTCACCGTCACTCCTTCCAAGTCAGGTCTAACTGACCAGATGACCACTTTCTTGCTCAGTCTTTCGGTTGCTTGTTATTTTACATGTCACCCCAACTTCTCACAAAAGCATACAAGACTGCTTCCCAAACATCCCACAGACTCCTGGCACCTATGGGCAGAATGCACATCCTCCACACCTAGAATTCTTTGTTCACGGCTCCTGAAGAGTCACATTTATCTTTCCAGTTTGAACTCAAACCCTCTTCGGTTGGGACCCTTCCTTTAACCAGGACTGGCCTAGCTGCCCCTCCTCCGTGTTCCTGTCACACCTTTGCTTACAAGATCATAGTGTCATTTTATTTCATATCTGTCTTCCCCAACAGCCTATGATCGTCTTGAAGAAGGGTTGCATCTTATTTGTCTTTTCATGATCTTATTCATAAAGAACTGGAAACTGGGTGGCGCCTTTAATCCCAGTGCTTGGGAGGAGAGGCAGGCAGATCTCTGAGTTTGAGGCCAGTCAAGTCTACAGAGGGAGATCCATGACAGCCAGGGCTACACAGAGAAACCCTATCTCAAAAAAGCTAAGCCAAACCAAACCAAAACAATGAACCCATGCATTAAAGAATAAAAAAATCAAAAAGAACTGGAGAGATGGGAGGTTGGAGGACAAAGGATTGATGATGATGATGATGATGATGATGATGATGATGATGATGATGATAATGATGATGAATCAGTAGTTGGATAGATGGATAGTTGAATGGACAGATAGATGGATGGGTATGTGGCTGACCAAAATGGATCAGTTCAATGGTGGTCAAAACTTCTGATCATATGTTACATGCCCAGCTAAATGCAAGAAGGCGTTCAACAACCACACAAAGACAAGACTGTGTTACTTGAAGATTCACATTTGACGTTGGAAAAACTATGACTGCAACTGAGCAACCAGCGGACTTTTGACCTTGATGCATAGGAAAGTTCAGAGGTGCTTCTGGCCATGGAAGAAAAGGAGACACGTGCATGTACCCGATGCTAGCTTGACCTGGCAGCCTCCTGCTGACTTCCTGCATCAGCGCTGGCCTCATCCAGGTCCATTCAGCTCCATGTTCAGCCCATAGTTCATTTCAGCTCAAACTGTGGCTAGAGATTGGCACCTCCCGTGCCAGAGTCACATCAAAGCAGGTGGCACCAAGGCACCAAGGCCAACGGCCACCATCTGCAAGTTTCTTGGAAAACAGCTTGTTTCTCTCCCTTTGGTACTCAAGAACTCTGACAAGTGGCCCCCTTGATTGAAGTTTCACTTCCTTTCAGACCAAATTAGTGCTCCTTCAGAGAGCTTTTAGAGGAAGACCTTTGGCCAATTGTTTCACCAAGGAAAAGGGAATATGTCTTGGAGTGACCTGGAAATACAATATTACGCTCCTGATATGAAGAACTGGCATGTGACCCAACCAAGTGGCAATGGAAAGGCCCTGGGGCTGCTGGGCTCAGAGCCCAGCCTGGCCGCCAAGAACCCTCATTCAGGGGTTGAGAAGCAGCCTGCGAAGCACAATCGGCTAAATTTGGTTGTGTTTTTATTTTTGTCCAGCCGTAAACACCGGCAAAGGACTGAAAACTATTCCTTCCCTTCTGGGAGCCTCCAAGCCAAGCTGGCTTTATTTTTAGCTGCAGCTCTAGTCCAGGGCTTTTAGCACACTAAACACCCTGCTCACCATCAGAAGAGCCAGTGGGTTGGACTTGAGGGGGTTTGCCTAGACCTGAGTGTTGGGTGTCTGGATGGAATTCTTTCCAGACTCTATGCAGCTGTGACGACATGCGTGGTTCCAGACAGACCCAGAAAGACCCAGTTCTTGCCTGAAGGGCCACCAAGAGAGTCCTTTTCAGGAAGGGCAGTGTACACAGAGCGGGTCAGGGTCTGCTTAGCGGGGAGGAAGTGGCAATCCTAGATGAAAAGAAAAGTGAGGAAAGGGAACGGGCCAAGGCACTTTGGCTCTGTGATGGCTTTGAGCGCTCTGGTTCAGGACCTGAAGCCAGCTGACTGTGTCCAGATCCTGCTACAGCACCCCTGAGAGATGCTGAGGCCTCTGCCTGGCCTGGATCACTGGCTTTGAATCCATTATGTAAGAGACAGGGACAATCACATCCCAGGCCTTAAGCTCTGCTCTGAGATTCTGCCAGGGCAGCATGAAGCACAGCACTTGGTATGCAGGGCAGCGGGTGGGATCAGCCATCATTATCACCAAGGTCGCCAAGGCCATCATGTGACATCCAACCCTTCCACATACAGCAGGCCAGTTCTCCCTGGAACCCAGAGTTATTTTTGCAGTTGGAAAACCGAGGATCAGAGGATTTGTAAGGTGCCCTCAGATCTACAGTGGGAATATAATCAGTCAAACCTGAACCCAGCGCTGGTTAGCCCCTGTCTTAACACTGAGCCTTCTGTGGGACCAGTGACTTCTGCGGGCTAGGAAGGAACTTGTCACATAGGAACTACTCTAAGCAGAGGACTGGTATTTCTCTGCCTTGGGCTCCCCAGTTTCATAACAGGAGCGTGCAAAGAAGATACCAGAAGTGATTTTTTTAAAAGCTGGGTGCAGAAAGGAAACTGCTGGAGACCACAGAATGATGTATATCTGAGCCTGTTAAAAGGAAAATGGGGAGTTGTTTAATGGCTAGACTTAGTTGCGTGTGACGAACATGTCCTGGAGATTAGTTGTGTAACCGGGAGAATACAGTCCACACTACTGTGCTCCATGTCTCTGAACTGTGTGCTTAGAAACTGAGAAGACAGCGAATTTCATGTTGTATGCTTTTAGCATTGTTTTTAAACAATTAGAAAAAAAAAAAGATCACGTGTTGGAGTCAGACCAATGTAGGGCCAATGCGGGCCACGGATTGGAGGGCTTCTTGTCCAACTTCCCAGTCCTTTTGCTCCCTGTTCGCTCTGAGAGGAAGCCTCCTCAGCAGCATCCCTGGTCCGCATGACACAGACTCTGTCAGGGCCAAGTTGGATGCTCTTTGAAAGGTGCTTATTAGGCGACATCGTAACTACTTCTCATGCTTAGCCCTTTCTGACCTCCTTCGAATCCCTGGTTCCACTAAAGCATTTGTCTAAAGGATGAAAGAAAGAACTAGCAGGCAAGTCTTCCTTACAGAGTCATGTTTTCTTGGGAGTACATGTAGGGGCAGGATCAGGCTTGGGCTTCACTTCTGAGAAGTTGGGTGCAAACCCTGCTTTTCTCCTCGGTTTGCCTAGCTCTGACATGGGGGTAACAGTTGTTCCCTGTAACTGCTTTTCACTTCTATGAGTGGATGCAATGCAGACCAACGTGGAGCTAGCTAGGAGCAGGGCCCCTCTGACTTGATTACCTCAAGAAAGCAGCCCTCCTCAGCATCACAACAGGGAAGGGCCTGGGGTCCCTTGGGAACCTCTATGGTAAATTCTGTGAACATTTAGTTTCAGTGGTGCTCAGGAGACACTTGGACTGTTGTCTGTTTTCTGCATTCATTTTGAGCCACTGTGACCACAATACCTGACATAGATAAGGAAGGAGAGGGTTTTTGTTGTTGTTTTGTTTTGTTTTGTTTTTAAATTTGGTTCTTTCTTTCGGTTCATCATGGCAGGAAAGGCATGGAGGAGAGAAACTCACTTGGTGGGAGAAGGAATGTACAATGAAGGCTGTTTGTGCCATGGTGGACCAGAAACTAGAGAGAATATTGGAACCTCTAAAGGCCCTTTCCTATATGATTTATTTCTGCCAGCCACACCCCACCCTCTAAAGGTTCCACAGAATCCCCAACTAGCCCTGATACCCAGAGAACCAAACATGAGCCTGTCCGGGCCATCGCAGGTTCAGATCATAACAGCTCTGTTGGTAGTTGCCCACATAGCCCTCTCTATGGGACTGAGTTTAACTGTGAGCCATGCTTTGTGTCCAGAGTTTGGGCCCCTGTTTGGGGTCAGTTTCTCTATTAGCTGCAGTGAGGAAAATGCACCACTCTGTCACATCCCATAAATACATCTTAATTGCTTTTAGCTTAGAAGAAAATTTAGGTTGGAATAAATGCTTTCTAATAGATGTATAGCATACTTATTTTTATACTTGCACAGATAGAATATATAAAAATTTCTTATGGACAAAGCAGCCCAGAAAAGGCCAAAGGGCCAAAGATCCGTGAATGTCACGATGCAGCCCTGCTGTGCCCCCATGTCAGAGGCTGGTTTTGGGTCCCTCAACCCATACTGATCTGACTTGCCCTCTTTTCTGTTCCTATGGCAACTGCCATCTGCTCCCATCCCCACCATTATTTAAGACTTGGTACATTTTCTCTGATATTTAATTTATGCTGTGAAAAGCTCAAAAGTGTTGTCTGGAGTCCACAGGAAAGAAGGTTGTCACTAATGAGTGATGTCTGTCCTAGACTTTGACCGAGGAGGGGAGGCACAGCCAACGTGCTCGGTTTGCACCTATGACTGATACGGATTTCTATTTCCAGCCTGACTACAGACTCTGTTATAATGGTATATGTGCTTTACATGTGTTGAGCATACCATGCTGAAAGATCTAGAATGTCTCTTAATTCCTGGTGATTGATTGATTGATCAAAGCAACATCTGTGTATATACTCTCTATACTCGATATCCCTTTGACATCTTTCCATTCATCTTTTCTTCACCAGACGTCTGAACAAGAACAAGCTCCAGGTCCTTCCAGAATTGCTTTTCCAGAGCACACCAAAGCTCACCAGACTGTGAGTAGCATTCATGTGTATTCTCTATCTTGCGTCTCACCTGGCTTTGGTCTCATGGACACTGTGGTTGTTGTGGTGTATGGTATCCATGCCATATGGAGCTTCAGAGCAAAGTCTGCCTTCTAGCTCCTTCTATCAGAGCTGGGTGGCTTTAAATGACCAGTGAAGAGTAGCAATGTGTGGTGATGGATTTTTTTTCTTTCCCTTGCAAAGAGGGAGGAAGGTCTTCTATTGGGACTGAATTTCCTGCATGGAATTTCCCCAAGAGGGGTTGAGGTGACTATTCGTCAGAAGCTGCCTGTGTGCGTTTTTAATATCAGTCTGGACTAAGCTCACTACCTTGCTGGTTGGAACAGTCCCTGTCCATGGCTCACGTCTTGCCATTGACAGTCCAGGAACTCTGGCTCTGCAGGCCTATGGTTTGATGGGAAAATAAAGAAAATTTGATTTTCACATTATTTTCCAGATTGATTTGGGTGCATATATTCATTGTGACAGCCTGGAAGCTTGGGAGCTTGAGGTGCAGACTGTGGCGGAGACTGTGACTTATGGATTATGGGTGTTCTCTGCAAGTACTAGTTATTGACAGTGAACTTGAAATCCCGCTGGCAGTGGATGACGGGTGAGCTATGCTGCCCACAGGCGCTCTGAATGGAACAGCCCAGAGTCTGACAAGCAGAGTCATAGCCTGACTGAGAAGACACTAGCATTACTGGGGCGGCCCCCATGTTATGGCCACCAATCTCCTCCTTCCCCATGGCTGGGTTTAATGCCTACTTATGCAATCAAACCGTGCATGTAGACTGGAATAAACTGGAAAATAGGAAACACATGTCACTGTGTGCACTTAAGCCCTGAATTAGGAATACATACTTATGTATGTGCGTGTGTATAAACACACATACACATACACACCATGCATATAAATACATTTTCAAAGAGCAAGAAGAACGGGCCTGGGCAGGCTGGCGTGCAGCGGGCCAGTGGTCCTGTTGGATTTCTGCAGGACATACATGTGCTTGTCGCTGGTCTCGTCTTTCTGTGCCTGCCATGTCTTCGGTTCTCTTGTTCACCTAGTTAGCTGACTTTGCTAAAAGGAAGGAAGGAAATGCCCTCCCTTTCCGTTCCTCCAACCTCCATCCACCTGGATGGGCGCATGGCCGGAGGAAATGCACAGCCTGGTTGCCTAACTCAACAAGCAGTGGACCCGCCACAAACCACCCTGATTTTTTTTAACACCCCTCTTACCTGTGCAGGCACCACTGGGTATCCTTGTAGCATTGACTCCTAGACTCTGATGGGTAACTAAATCCTCAGCTGCTTGAGTCACTTACATAAAATTGAGAGATATTTGTATTTAAATGACCATGCAGCCTTCCCCTCTACCTTAAGTCATTTTGTAGACTTGTCACTCTTAACGGAATGGAAATGCTATATAAATAGTTGATGTATGTGTTAGAAATGCTGACCAAGAAGGTTTGTGCATGCTCAGTGGAGGTAGAAATTTTCTCTCTAGAATTTCCAAGCTTGATAGTTTTCCCCACAAAGGAGGAACTAGCCGAGACTCACTCAGTGTGCCCTGAGTAGCCATGTGTCCCTCAAGGACTTCATTGCCACTTACCGCCCCAGCAGCTGCCGATCTCCTGGCATCTCAGCCTCAGTTTTGGGGTGGACGAAGGCTCTGGGGGCTGCAGCTGCTGATGGCTTTGCGGGAGTGGAATCGGGGTCTGAGGACTCAGTAGGTTTAGGTGTCTGCTGGGTTGTTTTCTCATCACAGGTGTCTCCCCGAAACCACCAGGCAATGCCCATGTTGTGCCAAGAGCCCTGAGCCAGAAAGAGACGGTTCAGGAGTTGTTAACCAGTGTCTGGGGTGCTGGCTGTGAGGCCCGGAGCTGGAACGCATTGGTTATGTTCTAATGGCCCTTTTCTCATGTAGAGTTTGGAGAGCCCCTTTGTCTTCTGTGCCTAATGGTCTTCATCAGTAAATGGAGCTGCCTCTCCTCCCTTCTCCTAGCCTCTCGGGGCACCTGTGAGCACCCAGTGAGATAATGGTGTAAACTGTCTGCTTCCTAGGGTTGAGAGAGCTGGGAAAGTTGAAGGCCAGAACACCTATAGTTGCCTCTCCTGCTTTTGTCCTTACCACCTCTGCTTCAGGCGTGGAGGGGGAGATTTGAAGTCGCAGTGGGCATTGAGATAAATTATACCAAGCTTCTGCCTCCAGCCAGAGAGCTGCAGCTGTGAAGGCAGAACAGTGTTCAACTCGTTTGGTGATCATCCTTCTGGGATTCATTGGCCCAGACACAAAGACTGGCACAGATAGGCACTCAGTGATGGCTGACTGAGTAGGTAGATACATGAATGGTATGGGCCCAAGGATACAAAGAGTGTTCTCTGAGATGCGTGACTCTTTTATTTACCATTCATGCATTCATTCATTCATTCATTCATTCATTCATTCACTCACTCACTCACTCATTTATTCATTCTGCTTCCTTTGGTTATAAGCCCTTTGCTCTGAGGACGGGAGCAGAAGATATGAAGGATACTTAGCTCCTTCTGTGCCCAATCCTGACACATTCTGACTGACTGTCAAAGGCTGAGAGCTAAATATATAAATATATTCTAAATCGAAGCAACTATATTAACCCAGGTTGGAGCGATAATCAGCCGCTGCTTTTGCTCTTTGGGCTTGATCTTTGATTTTTCTTAATGGCCCCATTATGTCTTTGTCTTATTTTGTCAGCCACTCCAGGGCCTTTTTGGAAGGAAGCAGGGTACAAATTAGAAAATCAATAAATGTGCAATCATGGGTGTGTATACATATGCCATCAGCTCTGCTAGCAAAGAACTGTGCCGCTCAGGAGACACGGCAAGCCGGTTCCCTGGGGACGCAGACTCAGCATGGGCCATGCCCCCAACGGGTCTGTAGCGGGCTATGGGAGAGCGCAGCAGCGCTGGGCATTGCTCTCGTTATTGTCTTCACATCCAGTGTTTATCCTGAGGATAGTTTTATAAATTCTTGGAGAGTTTCACACATGTCTCGATGGGATGTATTGGGATCATATTCAGCAACTCTTCCTAACTCCTCCCAGATCCACCCGCTTCACCCAACTTCAAGTCTTTAATTTTTCAGTAGGCTAACCATTCCTGTCCCTGCGACTAAATACTTGACAAGCAGTGACTTCAGGGAGAAGGTTTATTCTGACTTACAGTTTAAAGGGACACACGCCATCCTGATGGGGAAGGTGTGGTGACGGGAGCTAGAGGCTGCTGGCCCCATTGCATCCGCAGTTCCAGAGTGGACAGCAGATAGGAAAGCAGACTGTGCTGTAGAAATCTCAGTTCCTGCCCCACCCCCGTGACTCACTTCCTCTAGAGAAGCTCCGCCTCCTGAAGGCTCCACAACCTTCTGAAACGGCATCGCCAGTTGAGACTTAAGTGTGTAAAAATCTGTGCCTGTGGAGGACATTTCACATTCAGACCACAACATGTATCTTCTGGAAAGGCTGTGGTGGTAGACAACGTGTTTGAAGTGCAGATGAAAAAGAGAAGCCATAGCTATTGTTGGCTTCAGCTCTATCAATAATACCTCTGACTAATGAGGACCAGAGATGAGGCCAGAGTCCACTGAACCCAGAGGAAATCTATCAGTCCCCGTACCTGAGGAGTCCAGCGGTGGTAAGGGCTCCGGGAACAACTGGAGGCAGGGCCTAGGAGATACCAGGAGGATTTCATGTTGCATCCTTGGAACAGTGGATGCCCTGGAAGTCAAAGCAGAAAACTCACAGTATGCTAGTTTTGCAGTCCCAGGGAACCCTGTGAACAGTCTGGTGGAAAAGGACCAAGGGGAGCTGGGAGCTTGCTCACAGGGACTGTCGAAGGGGTTGCTCACTGCTAATGTGACAGTGTCCTCTGATCAAACCAAGTGTGGTCCCATGTTCATCCCACTATTGTTTGGACAGTAGGTTCCCTACAGAAAGTGATTGTATGCGAAGACACAGCAAGGTATGCCAGTCATTCACAATAGCCGTCAACAAGTTTATTGCGCATCTACTCCACACAGTGTTTTCAATGAGTGTTTCAGATCCTTGCAGTAAAGCTTTAAGATAAGAGCACCAGGAAACACCGAGTGCCAGGTGCTGTTCAGAGCACTTACATCTGTGAAATCATTCGGTTGTCTTGGCAACTCTGCAGGGTAGGTGTTGGGATTCCTACTGTGGTTAGTGGTGTTCTGTGAGAGAAACAGAGGCTCAAAGGGCTTGATGAGCTTGCCTGCCGTGGTTCTGGCAGAATCCAGATCTGACTCTGGATAACTCCAAACCAGAGAATGATTTTCTCCATCTCAGTGAGTGTGTTTCTAAGGTCACCAGTATTCCCATTTCATGGGAAAGTAAAGCTCGGTGAGGTCAAATTACTCCTCCGTAAATCCCGTAGGTCTGAGGGGTAGCCCCTCCTGAGAGCTTGGCTTCGGTGTTTGGCTTCAATCTTCACACCAATATTACCCACAAACCAATGTCAAATCTACTTCTAAAGCCCAGGAAGTGGAAAGTATGCTAGCTTTCCATCCCTGTAGCGACAGACTGACATCATTAACTTATAAGGAGAAGGGCTCTTTAAGCTCGGCTTTGGAGGTTCTAATCCATGACAGAGTGGCCTGGTCATTTTGGACCTGGGACAGGTCAGTGAGCCATGTGTGGAGCATATGGAAGAGCACAACCTCATAGTGAGGAGTCAAAGAGACAGAGGGAGGACAGTGGGATGGGGTCTGCGCTGGACAGTTTTTATGTCAACTCAAGCTAGAGTCGTTTAAAAGGAGGGAACCTCAATTAAGAAAAAATGTCTCCAACGATCCAGCTGTACGGCATTTTTTCTTAATTCGTAACTTATGGGGGGTGTGGGGGGCGACAGCCCATTGAGAGTGGTGCCAGCCCTGAGCTGCTGGGTTCTGTAAGAAATCAGGCTGAGCAAGCCAGGGGGAGCAAGCCTGTAAAGCAGCTCCC